ACTGGCTCTGAGTGGGGACGGCATTGCCGTCTGTCGGGTGTGGACCTTGTCACCACCTCTGCCTGTGAGACGCTCCTACGTGCAGACAGAGGCCGCGGGTGGACTGTGCCATAGACCTCGGGGGCACCTGAGGTGATCTAGCTGAAGGATCATTGTGAGCCTCTTGCCCATTGGGTTCTCTGCCGTCTTCCTTCACCAGCGTGCAGACGCTCTGACGCCGCCCATGTTGCAGATGAGGGAAAGGAGGTCGGGGCAGCGCAGCTGCTTGCTGAGGGTCACGGAGCTGTGGGTGGTGAGTTCGGGCTCTGGTCTCGGTTCTGCGACCTCCCTGCACCGTGAGGCCATGAGCTGCTTGCGGGGTCACTCGTGGCACCACAGGCTGTTCTGAGCATGGAATGAGGGGCAGACGCCACCAGCCAGCGCCTGAGGAAAGCCCACTGGTTTGGCCTGTGGTGGGGGGGGGCTGGAGGGGACGGGGAGATGGCTTTCAGAGAGCACAAGGCCAGCTGGGTCACTCAGCGCGACGGCAGAGACGTGTGTCCAGAAAATTCAGGAGGAATGGAACCCAGTATTCTTTCTATTCCTTTTCTCTCCGCCCCAATTCTGTCTCTTTTTTTCTGAAGCAAAGCCATGTGATGCTGTAAGGCTCTACTTGAATGTGTGATTCCAGAAAGAGATAAATCATGGCGGCTTGTTGAATTGGGCCCTGACGGAGCTGGCCATTTGGCCTGCTGGATCTGTGCTCCCCTGCCTGGGCTGACCTCATGAGCCCTCTCCCTTCTGCTGGGGCTGCACACACTGGAGACCGTCCTCCTTCCTGGTGTCTGAGGCCGGAGAAGGAGCTGGCTGAGACCACCGACTCAGCAGAACCTGGCACCCTCCGCTGGGCAGCCTTCTGGCAACATGTTGGGACTCCAGACTGCAGCTGGAGTTGAACCAGGTGCTCAGAACCACAACTCACATGATTTCCCCCTTAAATCACAGGTGTTCTTCTCTCCACATTGTATTTTTGTGGTTTCCTCCACTGGTAACGCGTACCCTAATTGCTAAAAACGTCACGTCTTTTAAAAGAGCATTTACATGGGATGAGAGCCCACCCGTGGAGGGACTTCAGCTGTGCCCTTTGAGAGATGAATCCGCGGGGCAGTGTTCATGTCCGTGAGCAGGGATCAGGTCTCTAAGGTGCAGCTGGCCAGCCCACAGCTTTCGAAGCTATTCACTGTCCCTCAGGCCCCCCGTTTTGAAGCCTTTTTCTGCACTTAAATCCTAGAATCTCACCCGTTTCTCTCCCCCATTCCAATTGCTGGGAATTCTTCAGCACATCCTTATCTCCAGAAAGCTGTAAGGAGAGAATGAGAGCTGATTTCTGGCTTGGGGTTCATGGATTCTAGTCGGCACGCAGTTTTGCTGCCTGGAGAGTGACATCCAGCTTTCTTCCACATCCTCGGGGACAACGTTGCCGGGAAGGATGTGAGGTTTGGGGGAGGCTTTTTGTGCAGAGGCAGTTGGAAGACAAAGTAAACAGCACCGCTGGATCTTCTCCAAATTCTGTTGCAAAACACTTGACTCGTGGAGCAGGTTACCAAGGACACTTGACTCTGCTTTAAAATCACTTCGTACTGTTAAGAACAAGATGGAATTATTTTTGTGTGGCCTGGTTTGAGTAAATACCAAGAGAATTTCGGGGGCTGGTGTGCAAGCTCAGGGCTGGTTGGTCTGGGAGAACGTGCGCCCGAGTGTGCAGGGATCCCTCTCCAAGGTCCCCTGGGGCCTCAGCCTCTTCCTCCCGAATCCGCAGCTTCTGGCCCTCAACCCCTAGATTACACAACACCGCCTTAATCCAGTGGAGAGGCTCTCTTGTGAGGGGCATCGGATGACTACATAGCATATTTACAGTTAGCTCAGAATGTTAAAGCCTGAGTAGTCATATTCAGAAATATTACTGAAATATTATCATTTCCAGTCCAAAATAGAACACATCTTTTGACTCATTGCAGAAACACATGATAACAGTAAGCTGATGACTAAAGATGGTTAAGCTCTTTAAGAAATCTGGATTTGTGCTGGGGAAATTGGACAGCTATGTCTGGAAGAATGAAACTCGACCATTCTCTTACACCGTACACAAAGATAAACTCGAAATGGATGAAAGACCTCACGTGAGGCAAGAATGTATCAAAATCCTAGAGGAGAACATAGTAACCTATTCGACATCAGCCACAGCAACTTCTTTCAAGATAGGTCTCCAAAGGCAAAGGAAACAAAAGTGAAGATGAACTTTTGGGACTTCATCAAGATCAAAAGCTTCTGCACAGCAGAGGAAACAGTCAACAAAACAAAGAGGCAACCCACGGGATGGGAGAAGATATTCGCAAATGACAGTACAAAGGCTGATATCCAGGTTCTATAAAGAACTCCTCAAACTCAACACACACAAAATAGATAATCACATCAAAAAATGGGCAAAAGACATGAACAGGCACTTCTCCAATGAAGACATACAAATGGCTAACAAACACATGAAAAAATGTTCATCATCACTGGCCATCAGAGAGATTCAAATCAAAACCGCATAGAGAGATCATCTTACACCAGTTAGAATGGCCAAAATTAGCAAGACAGGAAACAACATGTGTTGGGGAGGATGTGGAGAAAGGGGAACCCTCTTACACTGTTGGTGGGAGTGCAAGTTGGTGCAGCCACTCTGGAAAACTGTGTGGAGATTCCTTAAGAAATTAAAAATAGAGCTTCCCCATGACCCTGCAATTGCACTACTGGGTATTGACCCCAAAGATACAGATGCACTGAAAAGAAGGGCCATCTGTACCCCAATGTTTATAGCAGCAATGGCCACGGTCGTCAAACTGTGGAAAGAACCAAGATGCCCTTCAGCGGACGAATGGATAAGGAAGATGTGGTCCATATACACTATGGAGTATGATGCCTCCATCAGAAAGGATGAACACCCAACTTTTGTATCGACATGGACGGGACTGGAGGAGATTATGCTGAGTGAAATAAGTCAAGCAGAGAGAGTCAATTATCATATGGTTTCACTTACTTGTGGAGCATAAGGAATAACACGGAGAGAAGGAAGTGAGTTGGGGGAAATGGGAGGGGGAGACGAACCATGAGAGACTGTGGACTCTGAGAAACAAACTGAGGGTTTTGGAGGGGAGGAGAGTGGGGTGTCGGGTGAGCCTGGTGGTGGATACTAAGGAGGGCACGGGTTGTATTGGAGCCCTGGGTGTGGTACATAAGCAATGATTCTTGGAACACTGAAAAAATAAAATAAAAATAAAAAAATAAAGAAAAGCAATCTGGATTTGTGGAGATAGGTTCAAAGGAAGAAGCGAGCAGAGCAGGGCCCCAGAAGGTTTAAGAGAAGGCCACATGCTGGGGTCCCCTTTCTATCCCAGAGGGTTCTTAGCAGAGGTAGAGCCGTGTGTTTTGAAGCCTGGAGGCCGTGGACTGTGCTCCTGGGGGCAGGAGCTGCAGCTGGGAGGTGAGCCCTTTGGCTGCCACCCGGAGGGCTGGGCACACCATGGTGCTTCCCGTCTACTGGAGGATTGAACCTTCTAGATGTGCGTCACTTGGCTGCTCTTAGACCCGCAGCAGGAGGAGTAGATGTGTTTCCTCCCGAAGCTGGGAGCTGACCCCACAAGAGTGTGGCCAGAGCAGATGCACTGCTGGAGAAAGGTCTATTGTGTGTGTGTTTTGTTCCTTGAGGTAAACCCGCTGACCTTTTGGGAGAGGGTGTGAGAACCCACTGCCTTCGTGTGATTTCCGCCCACGTTCGAGAGAATGAATGGTTTGCGCAGGGGTGTGTTAACTTCTCTGGGCGGTGAGACCTTCCCCTAGGATGAACTGCTGGTACATTCCCTCCTATATTACTGTTACAACCCAAGACACAGGGTAAACATTCTTAAATGTCACCAAGTCTACATCTTCAGCATAAATGTTGGTTTGTATCTCAATGTCACATTCAAATTATAAGACAAGTCAGAGGGTTTCACGTTCCGTGTGGTGAGGTGTTTTTGCTAAGGCGTGCACCCCAGCAGGAGACGGTGGTGATTCTCAATGAACCCTGCATGGACAGTTCTGAGCGCAATTAGCAGGTAAACTCCAAATTCATTCAGAACAGAATTTTCTTTTTTTAGTCCTTCGAGCAGTGCAATAATGGCGAGGGAGTCAGTGCTGGTTGCTGTTTTGAGCTCCAGGGGAAGAGAGAGCCACACCTCACAGGTGTAGGGCAGACCTCTTGGTGTGACATAGGTGTAGACATGCTCTTGTGAATTACTCCCACAGCCTTAGCATTTTCCCAGCATTCTTCTGCAAAAAGACAGTTGCTCAGTTTTCTTTTGTATAGAATGAAATCCAGCTGAAAGCAGGGTTTTCTTGATCTTTGGTTGCATAACTTTAAAAAAAAAGATTTTATTTATTTATTTGACAGACAGAGATCACAAGTAGGCGGAGAGGTAGGCAGAGAGAGAGGGGGAAGCAGGCTCCCCGCTGAGCAAAGAGCCTGAGCGGGGCTCGATCCCAGGACCCCGAGATCATGACCTGAGCTGAAGGCAGAGACTTAACCCGCGGGGCCACCCAGGTGCCCTGGTTGCATAACTTTTTATTTAAAAAAATGTTTCCTTTTTAAATCTAATGTGCTCTGCTGCGTCAACATGGCAAAATGCATGTTAAGGGGATTAGGGCATTTCCAAGTGAAGGAACAGTGATCTGTTTATTGCATATGGGAGTGTATGTCCTCACGTGCGTGGCCAACTAATGAGTCAGCAGCAGACGTCGGAACTCGTCTTTGGTTTGCTAGTCGAGGGCCTGTGACTGCAGACGACGCTGTCACCTCAGCATACACGACGGTGTGCGTCGTTTGACTAGGAAGTGACAAGCACTGTGAACTGCTCAAAATGGGACCCAATATTTGCGTAACAACTGTCGATGACCACTTGGGAGCCAAAATTAATTTATTCCTCGTTGTCCCCTTTTAGGTTCCATAAATGAAAAGGTGCCCCAACGGGAAGGCACAGGAAAAACAGGTAACTATCTTAAAATAAATTTCTATGCTGATAATATGTAGCAGCTGATTCAATTGTAATGTGGACTGTGTGATAAGGAGAGCTGACTCACTTGATTACTTACTCATTCAACCCCCATGTATGGGTCCCTTTAGATGGGCAGGGACCTGCGGGGCTGGTGTATAACCTACACTGCCCACGTGAGGGCCTCCCAGGTGTGGTTTTGCTGGGATCCCGGTGTGGGCAGGTGCCCCAGGGTTCTGTCCCTGTGGGAGGGCTCTAGTTTGGTGTTGGGTTCCACATGTGGTTGTGGAGTCTGGGCAGTCACTGTGGCCCATCAGAAAGGGGTATGCTTTCTACCTGTGACAGTCATGGCCTTGGGGACTGGGGACAACAAGAACCAGGTAGAGCAGCGGGCCGTGCACTTTTGGAACCCCTCCATGGCACCTGGTTCATCTCACACAGGCCACGGCACATCCGCCATGACCGTCCACGAATCCCAAATATTCTCTGTGCCCTTCCCACAGTCATTGTCCTGTAGACTCAGGGTTGTGTTTTTCCTCTTTTATATCAACTTTTAAAGTCAGAAGTTGTTTTCAAGAGAAAATAAAAATTTTTTAGAACCAAAATTTTAGGCATTTTTTTTTTTCTGATGTAGGTTATAGTGTATGACCCAATAATGAAGGAAAGTGGTGTAAAGCCAAGTAGACCTGGGTTTCATTCAAGTCCATTCCCACCAGCCGGCACTGAGGCTGTGGCGGGCATTGTCCCTGTCCTGGGAAGATGGTGGAGTCCCTCAAGTCATGAAGATAAACATAGGGGATAGGCATCTGGGACGGCATCAGCCGTGAGGACGGTGTGCAAGGGGGGCTTGGTGGGAGTGTGCGTGGACCAGCCTCGTGAAAGAGGGGGTGGTGGGTGGGCGTGGAGTGTGTGGACATGGGGATGGTATGACGTAGGACAGAACAGCTGTATAATTGGGGAAAATAACCCATTTTCTAGGGGAAAGACAGCAGCAGGCAGAGTTAGAATACTGCATGGAGCAAGGGTTTACGTTAGAAAAAGAATGTTCGATGACCAGCATGGACTTGGGTCTGTGAGGTCCCAGGGCGGGCCTGTCAGTATTTTGTAGAGGGGAGGAAGGGGCAACATTCATGATTACGCATCTCAGTCAGAGGCTCAGGGGGCAGCGGTGACAAAAGGAAACGCCCTCCGACGTGGTTTCCTGACGCAGGGCCTTGTAGCACCTGCTCTAGAGGTGAAACGAAAATCCCTAGAGAACTGGTATGTGAGCACAGAAATTAATTTAAGGCAGGAACACATTCCTTCTACTGAAGGCTCTTGCTATATAGACATGAACACAACAGAGAAAATGCCTGAAATTAATCCGCACAGCTGGCTTATGGATAAAAATGAGGCCTTTGCTAACTCTAGTGGGGAAAACAGAAAGCACATGGCACTCCCCAGTTTTGTTTCATTTTCTTGGGTCTGAGTTCTGTAGGTGCTGCTATGTTTGTTATGCTGGGACAGAACTCCACATGGGCCTGAGAGTAGACGCTGGTGGAGGGCGGTCATGCTGATGGGGGGTAGGGCCTGGACCAGGAGACACGGGGGCCCCTGGTGCCAGAGATGGGGGGTGACGGGGGCCTCATCCTCCCCCCGTGCCCTGAGCCTCGCCCACCATGAATGAGCTGGGCTGACTATTTAGGCTGGCTTGGACCCAGTGATTTTGGGAGCAGACTCGTGGCCCCACAGTGGTGACGTGGCTGGGCCTCAGTAAAAACGTACAGCACTAATAATGTGCTGACTGACATCACTTCAAAGGACTTCTGAATGTGTTTGGTACACTGTAGATACGTCCCCATTTAGTTTTAGTTTCTGGAAGGAGATGACAAAATATTTGATGGGCTTACAGGTACTACCAGTGTTAGAACTTGAGTTTCTCGAATAGGCAGCATTACATTTTTTCAGTGCTCTGACAAAAAGCAAACTTTTTTTTCCCCAAAAGATCGTTGTGTGTTAAAGTTTTTTAAAAAAAAGCTTTTTGGTTTCCCCCCAAGAAAAGTTTATGAGAAACTTCGTTTTTATTCTTCAGACATCTGGGAAAGTCATGAATCACAGATAAGCCTTGTGGCTGGTCCTCATCTCCCTCACTACTTAGCGTATTTTAATCCTGAAATTATTATATAACTGAATTGCGTGAGCAAGCTTGAGGGAAAGGCCCAGGCTGGCTCTTGGGAGCCCTGCAAGGTGCCTTGTGACCGCCCCCAGGGCAGGGGCCCCGCTCACCCAGAGCAGACTTCCAGCAGCTCCTTCTCCACATCTCCCTGCTAGATCTCAGAACTTTCTAGAACCTTAGGTTCTACCAGGGAACCCACAGTTAGTTTTTTTACTGATTAAGTAAAGATTATCCACGGGATCTATGCCTCCAAAGAGAACACAGAGCACTGCTGTGACCCCCTGGCCCCCCGCTCTGTGACATTGACTCTGGTCCCTCCATGTGTCCCTTGCCCTAGCTCCTGCAGGGGTGAGGGATGGGTTGATGGTGCAGGGGTGCCCAGAGCAGGAAGTCGGACACGATTCTTCGATCCCGACCTTGTGCTCAGGAAGATGGGGTGGGGCCGGAGCAAGCATATCTGAGATCCCCGAGCCCACCCAGCCCATGTCTCTGACTTTGGTCACCCCAGCTCGCGGACTCTGCCGACATGAGTCCCTTCCCCACTGCTGTGCTCCCTGGTTTACGTTATTCTGTCTCTTGCTCGCCCGTCCCAAGCTGCTCTGGCTCCTAGGGACACCCAGCAGCTCCCCCAGGGCCGGTTTTCAGCCGGCACGTACCTTATGTGGCAGCGCCCCAGGGCCCCTGTGCGGTTTATGGGGAGTCCCTGCCCGGCTCCGCTCACCCGTGAACCTGGGGTGGTGGTTTTGGCTGATGTGTGGGGTGTATGCAAGCCCCCCACTTCCATCCTGTATGCGCACTTACTGAACTTACTCTCATAATTGTAGTCTCCTTGCAAATCTTTTCCGTTCTGAATTCAGATGATGCCACAGCTCCAGCGCTGGAAACTCAACCCCAAGGAGATGAGGAAGGTGAGCCCAGGAGAAAACAGGGTCTGGCTGGGGGAGGATGGCGGGACACATTGGGGAGGACGTTGGGACGCATGGGGGAGGACAGCGGGAATGCATGGGAGGACACGGAAACACACTGGGACAGTCGTGGGCAAGGACAGTGGATATGAGCCCGGGAGACACAGGGTCTGGTCGGGGGAGGAGGCGGGTGTGCACGGGGCCATCATGGGCCTGGGAAGTGCAGGCAAGTCACTCTGCTGGGAGTCCCCTCAAAGTGGACTGGACTTGGCCACTTGCAACTCTATGAGGGCTCCTGCTGTCCTTCCTGGTGGTTCTGGAGAGGGCTCGTGAATGGGGCCATGTGCTTTCATACAGCACGACACAGAGGTCTTTTTTAAAATCAAAATTTATGAGTCGAGATTGTACAATTGGGATGGCATAAAATATTTATTTCAAAGGGTGTAGACACGTACATCCTGTTCCTTGCTCATGTGTCATGTCTGACATCATGTCTCCACTGCAACGCGATGCGTGAGATGAAATTTGTGAAGTCACGTGTGTGCAGGTGTTTCCAACTTTGTAGTGATGGCAAAGGTGGATTTCCCATACCTAGTCTTTCATACGTCACCTTCAGTATTTGCCAAAGGCTCACAGGTGCTCAGGTCAAAAGGAACAAGGGTTTGAAGATGAAATGATAAATAAGTCAGAGACTGAAAGGTAGAATGACAAGGTGCCCCGTAGAGAGCGGGAGCAGGAGGGCTCACGTCCGCAGGGCCCTGAGTCAGCTCACGGAGTCCGTGGATGCCGTGGGTCTGAGGTCACAGGCTGCGAGCGTGGAGGGTGGCTCTGCCGCGGGGTCTCGGGCCCGCAGTGTGACTGGTGCACACGGCAAGCACTCAGGGGTTTGTCCGATGGTACTGCGGAAAGGAATCGTTCCTGAAATGTCTTACACAAAATCGTATCTTCCATGTTGTGGTTTGTACCAAGTCTTCCCTGAGCAGAACTGCATGTGCCGCACAAACGTCCCCTCTTTGTGACACGAGGGTGGGTTTCTGTCGGGGTTTCTCCCTGGAACCTGCTTCTTTGAAGTGAGGCCAATCTGAGGACGTATAATTCTTGTTTACAGTCTGGGAGGAGGAAACGGGGAGGGAAAAGCAAATGCCCAATGTCTAAAAATGTATATAATTCTTGCCTTTTGTCTCACATGCATAATCATTTTAACAGTTTCTTTAAAAATGTGCACAATGTGTGTACTGAGCGCACTGCCTTTGGCTTTTAGGCTGCCTACCGAGCTCTTTCATCGAGAGACTGTGTTTTCAGGATGCTTTGAAAATGATCATCACTTTGTTTTGGTTTCTTAGATATTGCATCACGTTACCCCACGCTTTGGACTGAGCAAGTTAAAAGTCGGCAGAACAAAACCAGTAAGAATGCAGGTAAAAAGGGGCCCAACGCCACTTTGTGAGGAGGGTTTTGGTGGACTCAGGGAGTGGTTTTGTTTTCTGGAAGTTAAGCACGGACTCCATTTTTTTTCTCAATTTTTGATGACTCACGCAAATGATTCTTGTGACTTGACCACCAAAATGTAGCTCAGATATTGGTGTTTTTATTAAGTTTTCTAAGTTCCTTAAAAGGGTTCTCTGAAAATGTCAAGCAAATGAGAGCTTCAGTATAAAAATAGAAGCATTTGATACTAGGTATTTGTTTTTGACCTCATTTCAGAGATGTCCAAACACTTGGTTAATTCAGTTCAAAATCCTCAGAACTATGTGGATTGCATTTGCTACAAAGGAGTGTTTGGCAGAGTTTTACACTTTTTAAAAAAGATGTTATTTATTTGAGAGAGAGAGAGCCTGTGCATGAGAGGGGGAGGGCCAGGGAGAAGCAGGCCCCCCGCTGGGCAGGGACCGACTTGGGACTGGATCCTGGGGCTCTGGGATCCTGTCCTGAGCAGGAGGCAGTCACGTGACCAACTGAGTGGCCCAGCGCCGGAGAGTTCTGGGCCTTAAGGCGACACGTGAAGAGGTGACGCTGCCTCCGTTGACAGGTTTTGCCGGAGCGGACGCATTCTGTGTGCTGCGAGCTTAGCGGGTCGCGTGCGCGCTCGCCTGGCTGCTCCCATGGTGTTCCCGTGTGAGGACCTAGTGAAAGGGTCCTTCCAGGGTTGGGGTGTTCAGCTGCCGGGGACCACGGACTAATCACGGGCGGTCTGGGACGGCCTCAGGCGTGGGCTGCGAGTTTGCAGAAAATCAGCCTTAGAATCGCAGCTCGGCTGCCTGTGGTTGCGGGTTCTCCGTCCTAGAGTGTCTCCACGCCCACTGACAATTAACAAAAAGAAATCGGAAGCTTTCCCCGCGTTCAGGATATGAAGGATAGTTTGCCTTCCCCTCCGTGTACCCTGACGCGCACGCTGAGAGGGACTCCTGATGGGAAGCCCCGAGTCTGGGTGTCTCGAGGCCCCTGCAAGGCCCAAGACAGAAGCTCTGCGGTGGGGACGGTCACTGACCCAGTTCCCCCGAGGCAACACAGAGAACAAGCTGTGGAGGCGCCTTGGGAGGGCTGGGGTGGGTCGGGACTGCCGTGTTCTTCTGGTGCAACTTCCGCCCGGACGCCCCCAGTCACCTCCTCCAGCCCCACAGCACGACGCTCAGCTCCCTTGTCATTGCCAAGGACGCCACCTGCACGCGTCCTCCCGGGTTGTAGCCCCGCTGGGCTAGGATGAGGAAGGGAAAAATCCACGGGTCTGACTCTGATACACGCGTGCAAATGGCAGGGAAACCATAATAGTGTTTCTAGAATTTGCATTTTCTTTCTCTGAAGTGATTGGGAGAAGTTTGTCCTGTCGTATAAAGATACAACACGCATCCTTCTCTCACGAACTTTAGAAACGGGGAGTTTAGCTCAGTCTTGTCACTCTGATTCCCAAAGCAATCTCGTTAGATTTGCCCTGTAGCGTGTGACGAGCATGGGGGAAATGAAGAAAACGTCGTCTGTTTTCCGTGGGTCTTGGAGGCGTCTCCTGGGAGAAGCAGGGTGGCCGTCCCTGACCTTTACTTGAGGAATGCGTAGGAAATGATTCTGAACGATGTCCTGGAAATGTGCATTTTCTATAAAAGCAATTTGACTTGTCAGAGGACATGATTTCAGGTTTTGACAGAGTAAGCTGCCTGTGGACAGACATGTCTCTGTCACTTGTCACGGGCTCTTACCAGAGTCCCAGGATGACAGCAGCATGCCAGGCTCTCGCCATGTAGGGGCTGAACATGATGTTTCGGGAAATGCCCGTTTACCTAAGTCACCCTCTGCTGCAATCTGATTTCAGTCAGCCTGTGTGAGCAGACTTACAGAAGATGACACTCGTTGGTACCTGGACACGGGGCATGGAATTCCTGGGTTCTCAGTTGTCTAGATGCACGTTCTTTCCCAGGGCCTGAGGAAGGTCCCGGCAAACTGGTATTTTACAAAATGAAAATAGTCTTGGATCGGCGCAATGGAACAGTGAAACCGTTGTTGAGGTTGCAAATGCAAAAGGAGCTTCAATTTTAATTTTTTCATTTAATTTTTAATTTTTTAATTTTAAGGCAGGGGAGGGACAGAAGAAGAGGGAGAGAGACTGTCAAGCAGGCTCCATGTGCAGCACATAGCCTGACGCACGGCTCGCTCGCAGGACCCTGAGACCATGACCTGAGCCAAAGTAAAAAGTCGGAGGCTTAATGGACTGAGCCACCCAGGCGCCTCTAATTTCTATTTTTATTTATGTTTATTATTTTAATTTATTTATTCAACAGAGAGTGACAGATCACAAGTAGGCAGAGAGGCAGGCAGAGAGAGAGGAGGAAGCAGGCTCCCCGCTGAGCAGAGAGCCCGATGCGGGGCTCGATCCCAGGACCCTGAGACCATGACCTGAGCCGAAGGCAGAGGCTTAACCCACTGAGCCACCCAGGCACCCCACTAATTTTTATTTTTAAAAGATACTTTTGCTAATGATCTTCTCTGATAGAAGCAGGCACATTTAGTTAACGAAGCACAAATAATTGGTGATTGTTTGCTCTTCTGTATATTTTTTAAACAGCTGTTTGTCCTATTCCTTCATGCCCTTTCACAGAAGAGGCCAGACCGGGAACGCATTTCTCTTTCGCTCTGATGTTCCTTTGTGAGTTAAATGTCCCTCCGCCGTATTTGCCCTGCGAGCTTGTGTTAACATGATGTAATATTACTCATGCTACAAAGTACGCAGAATGCGATCGCCGTGCACAGTGAGTGTGTGCCATGGGCCTGTGGTCAGCATGCTTTGGAACATTCTGTGGAGTTCACTAGGAGGGACCTTTCCTGCAGAGGAAAATGGGGCTCTCCAGTCTATGAGAATTTACACATAGTGGGCACTTAGTGTTTATTAAATTAGTAAAGAGTTTGACCACATGGTTTCCACAGGCTCTCTGATGGCGTCACTACTGCTTTTCCCTGAAACAAACTCAATGAAGCAAACGACAGAAAAAAAACAGATAACTAGAAAAGAGAATTAATTTCAGTTTCAGAGAATTAAGTTCAGTTTGACCATTGCACTTTTATTCGCCGAAATTCAATATAAACGTGAATGAAATCATGTCCTGGTGGTTCATTCGGCAAGAAGAGCGTCGGTGCCGTTAGGCGAGTCATCGCACATCGACGCGTAAAACCGGAAATGGTGCTTTGCTTAAGAACGTATGACTCAGTTTTCCTTCTCACTGTAAAATTGAGAGTGTCAACTACTATCTTGAATCATTTATTCTGTGGTTTTATTTCTATCCAATAAGATATAGAAGTTGATCCCAAAATTTTACCAGATGAGAGGTTTTGTAACATAGGGTCGTTGAATTATGTAAAGTTCGTGTATAGAATGTGGAAGGAGTCAGAGGTGGTTTCCGAACAGGAAACTTCTCTAAAAGTGCTCTCAGTGCCGTTTGCCATGTGGACCGGAGTGGAACGGGACTCCGGGAAGGGAGCAGAATGCGCCCATCTGGCCGCGGCACAGCTCGCCTCTCTGCAGTGGAAGGGACCGTCCACGCCCCGTAGCCCAGCACGAACTCAAGGAAAAGGGGAAACACAGCTCTGCACGTCAGAGAGATGGAGGGGTTCCGTGCCGTAGCTGTGCTTGCTTCAGCCACCGAGTGCACTCCGCGGAGAAGCCGGCTTTGGTGAGCGCCTTCCACAAAGGATGGGCTTTAACGCAATGATGAGCTCTACCAGCTGAAGAAGCCACAGAGGCGACCTCGCTCAACCATTAATGGAAGATCAAAGAAACAGACCTCGGGACGGACAAGTTGTTCACTGCAGGCAGCGCGGGTGGATATGTACTTTTTTAAAAATGTGCTGTCCCTTAAGGAGAAGCCAAGTTGCACGGACGTAAGCGAACTTGGAATGTTCCAGTAATCTGCGAGGCTTACTGAGAGGACGAAAACCCCACGAGGCTGAGGTGAGCTCAGGTCTGTACTTGGCTGGGGGACTGGGGGGTAAGGCCTTGTTGTCCCCTCAGTCAGTCCTGGCCGTGGCTGCCCCTCGGGTGTGCCCACTGCTCCCCAGGACTCTGACCTTCCTTCACACGGAGCTCTGGTCCCCTCAGTCTGTGTCCCCTGGGGACATGCGGTGCTGCCGGCCCCAGCTCGGCCCCGGCTCCCGAGCCCTCCTTACCTTCCCACGTAATTGGCACGTTCTGGCTCTTCTGTCCTGCCGAGTCACGGGTCTGGGTCCTTACAGGTTTTCATGATAATCTGGCACTTTGCAGACGAGCAGATTCAGGAATCCGCCCTTGAGCCCGTGACAGCCCGATGGCCGCGTGGCATCCGGGCCACTGGGGCCAGGCCTTGTCACCGTCCGCAGCCTCAGGGTCCGGCTTCGGAGCAGCGTGCGCATGCAGGGCACCCCTTCAGGACAGGCTCGCTCTGGGGGCGACAGGGTGACTGGGCCACATCTCTCTTTGAACTCGCACACGCTGTCTTTCTTGTTTTCATGTCGGTCGGTGTTCATTTCGATGCTCACCTCAGGCCTGGGTCTGAAAATATCCTCACCAAAGTCAGCCCCATCTTAGCGCCGTGAGGAGGTGGCTTGCCGTCAAAGGCTTCGCTTTCTCAGCTCCGGAGGTGACCGTGCGGGAGTTAGAGTGAGTGGCTGTGACCGTCCTTCTTCCGGTGTCATAGTTGGTTCCGTGACGTCTGGCGACCCCACATGACACCGAGTGGAAGGCCCGCGGCGGGCTCTGTGGCTCTGCTGATGTGTCGGGGCTTGGGGAATCGGCTGACAGTGGCTGACGCCTCCCGCCAGCTCCGCATCCCCCGGCAGCGGTGACAGCAGCTGGGGGCTGCGTGCGAATCCCTCGTGGGCAGTCTTGCCCCCTCTGCCTGGCCTGAGGAACAGGTGGGCATTGGGGTGCATCCTGTCTGGGACTCAGGGGTGCGGGCTG